AGACATTCTCATAACTCACTCAAGGACATGCATCCTTGCACCTTAGTTTGAGAAGGAATGACTTAAGAAATATGTTCAATTTTTGAATAGTTTATTTATTCAGTTATATTTTGAATTGCAAATCTATTTTAAGATCTCTTCAAGGAAGTTTCTTTATAACTGATAAAGTATTTTAAGTTAACCATCAAAATGACAAATAATATACAAAACATATTTATGGACCTCCTAATTTTTCAGAACACATTTTCAAACCCCAGCTTGAGAAGTCCTGGGCTAGATTTTGAAGTCGTCCTCCTATGTCATTCAAAGAATCATCTCACACATTTTTTCTAGAGAAGCTATTGGATCTGAGACCATCTGCAACAGCCTGAAACATGTTTACCCCAGCATTTTGCTTTAATCTTTCTGGAGATATCAGACATTCTCACAGACTCTGTAACATATTAGTTTTGCTCAACAGACACCATTTATGCTTATGTCTTGAGTAGTGTCAGTCTTAGTAGATGTTAACTTTGTTAACATCCTTAAATTATCCTTTCAAAATTATGAGGAGTCCATAAAAAGAGATTGGGTAGTAATAGAAATCATTTTAGAATATGTAACTATTAATATTAAAGTTTTGGAAGAGAGACACTCAGTTAATGATAAGAAGAAGGTCCAAGTTATGTCTTCACTCTCCCTCTAGAAAAGCACTATGTGAAGAATATCTGCAATCTATCCTCCAGATAGGAAACAAACATTTCAGGTAGAAGACTTCTTATTTCCTATACTATAAAATTGAGAATATTTAAAAAATGATTGAATTTCCACAAATTTAAGCTTTTTCTTTATGTTTTTAATGAAAATAGAATTCTCCGAGGCCACCTGGGACCTTTAATTGTTTTTCTTTTTTTTCAACAAGAGTAAACATGAAAGCTTGTTGTATTTATAAGTAAAACTTTATCAACTAGGCATATGCTGGTTTTAGAATTCATTTAATTTTATGTTGGTCAGAGATAGAGCTTAATTGAATCTATTTTAAATAGATGCATATAGTATAAACTCTTTGTACATTTTTAACATATTTTAAAAATTTTAAAGAGTTTACAGCATTGTTTGGATGCCAATGCTGTTGTTAAACAATCCCTACTAATTCTGATAAACTATTTATTTACTTAGTAGCAGCATACATGTTCTGCTGTCTGAAGATCTGGGTTCTAATCTAATTCACTTATTAACTAGCTTTGTGAAGTGAGGAATTTACTTAACCTGTATCAAACTCAATTTAATCTTGGAAAATAAAAACTATGAGTTCCCTCTAGTCCATCTCACAATTATATTGAGAGATCAAATGAGATTAATGCATTTGAAAGTGCTTTGTAATTTTCAAATCACTATACAAATTTAAATATTGTGTTTATTATTGAATATGCAAAATAGTTTTTGGATCCATTTATATTTGAATTTGCTACATCCTAAAAATTATGATCTAGAACAGTGTTTCTCAAACCTGAGTGTGCATTAGACTCAACGGGAGGGCTTGTTGAGCAGTCTCAGATTCCAGAGATCTGTGTAGAGCCTGAGAATTTGCATTTCCAACAGGTTCCTGGAGATGTTGCAATTGCGGGTCTAGGAACCACACTTGAAGTATCACTAATCTAGAATTCAGGGCTGTGTTTCCCCGTATATAACAAATACCTAGTAAATAATACTATGTAAAATATTTGAAAAATATTACATTTACTCCCTTACGTACTTTCCTTATGCTTTTCTTTTCAAGTTTTATCTCCATTTCTAGTAAAATAATAGCCCATTGAATCAGACTCAAGTGTTAATAATGTGTGATAATCTGCAGCATATTTTATGCTATAGCTTCTTTATTCTGATCATGATACCATTTTCAGTTGAGTAGATTTCATCGCTGAGTGTTCATCTCAATAATTATGGACATCTGAACAGAGTAATAAGTCAATAAGTATGTACTTTACTTCCTTTGTGTGTATATAAATTTTTAAATTCAAAAGAAAAATCATAAACATTCAGTCTTTTCCTAAAATTCAAATATTCTCCAAATGAGGTGATTTAAATTATAGTAGAGAAGAAAGGAAGAACGTTGTTACTCATATATACTTTTCTATTCATGTTCAAGGAACACATGTGTTCTAAGTTAAGCTATTTTCAGAATATCTTGCCTTTTAACACCTTGGGGAGGCCATTTACACTTTAATAAATCTCTGGAAAATTTATGGTAAATGTCTCTGAAAATAAACCTACCCCTGGAATAGAAATTATTAATAAAGGAACATTTTGATGACAAAGGAAAAATATATATACCCGAGGCTATGCAAGGTAAAATAGGATCATGTAGAAATGATCTACTTAGAGTATGTAAGTTTCATTGACCTTAAAATTAATTTAAATGAATTGAGTGTCTTTTTCATAAAATGATCCTAAATGTACTAAGAGCAAAATGACTTGGATAGTCACTTTTATTTAAGTTTTCTATTTTAAGACCAAATTTTCAGATCAAGGCTCTAAGGAAGTTGGCTAAATTGGATGATTTCTTTTTTGTATGTATTGTTTTACCAGGGACAGATTCCTTCTTAAATTAGACTAGTTCTTTTCATACAATGTCTTCAGGAAGTATAGTTGGACCAAATGGCAAGAAATATCAGCCAGAGGGTTTATGCATGCTGAAATGTATGGCTAAAAGAAAAATACATTTTGGCTATTTTTATGACTCTGCAGGAAAATCTCTCTTCCGGTTCTCTACCCTTAGCATGAATCCTCCAAGGGAACTGAAAAAAAGTAATGATGGAAATATTACCAATGTTCAAAGAGTATGTGGTTGTCTCTTGAAGCTTATATCAAGATTGTCTGGCCCTTCCAGAGTGCATGACCACTTCACAGAGACATTATGTAAAACACCTGGTACATAAAAAGCACATCTTCAAAGATTGGAGGAATGTGAAATGATTTTGACCTCATTTCAGGAATTATATTTCTTAGACAAGGGGCCTATATTACTGTAATTTGGCCCATACCGAGACCCAACTTTGTTATTGAGAAATCTCAGACTGTGAAGATTAGAATCTTGTAATTCACCTTCGTTAAACTATTTTTGAAATGATGTCAATTAAGTACTGTAACTATACTCCTTTAATCTAGGGAACAGTCACCATATTGTAGCAATAAATTACAATTTTGAATTGCAAATGATAAAATTCATTCCTTAAAGATTATTCCGTCTCCCCTCCAATTTATGAAATAGAAACTTAGTTATTATAGCTGTGAACACATAATATCCCTAGATTTCTCTTGCTGATAAAACTACCCCTTATTCCATGGCATGCAACTTAGTGAAGATCTGCAGGTGAAAGTCAAGAAATATATTGAAACCCAGGCGAAGGAGTTATATTTAGAATGCCAAGCAGAATTACACAAAAGGTACAAACCGAAGAATCCCTGCAGAGTTACAGAGGAGGAGAATCTGGCCTGTCGCTCAGGTTAGAAGGCAAAAAATGAAACAGAAAAACAAATATCATCTGTTGTGTGATAATGAAGAAAAAAGTTGTGTAAAGGCAGCTGAAGACTGTTTTTATTGTTCTCACTTAGACATTGGGTCCAAGATTCCCAATCTGTTCTTGAATGTTTTTCAAAATCAGGTAATTACTAGGACTTGTGACCTTTTGTTAACAAAATGGCAAAGTCTACAACGTCAATGTCTCCTGGTGGATTCTTGTTTGAATAAAAAATCTTGACTCAAAGTTGAGTTTTACTTAATTTCTTTACACGACTTTGTAAAACATTTCTAATATTAGTAGCACTAATCTGGTGCTTAAATATCTTTGGTTCTTCTTTTCCACACAGGAATGGTTTTGTTATATATGTGTGATTAGATATTATATCTTATGACATATCATTTGAAATCTCACAGTTTGAGCATATGTCAGCTATTCCTCTTTTTGCAGTCTCTTTCTTTCCAAGTAGTTTCTTTTTTAGTTTGGTTAAATGTACTATTGCATGGCTAACAAACCAGACAACTTAGAAAGGCATCTTTCTTTACTACATTATTATGGATAAAAGTAACTGTCTCATGCATTTGTATCCTGTTTTTGATTATGCCCTCCCCTTTTTTGCTTCCCTCTTCTTGCACCAATGATAATGACCATTTATTTTCTGTACTTTCAAGGCAATTCATTACGACAATCATACCTACCCATTACTGAAGCACTATTGACTAAGTCACAACAAAATGGGTTTAACTCCTTCATGATTACTTCTATTTATCATTTAGTAGATAACTGTGGAAAACAAAGGAAGTTGAAAAAGTTGGTATTTAATACCCCAATTGTCAGTAGCCTCAAATTTTGCCATATGAGTCATTAATATTCTAAACATTTATTACATCAAATGTAAATGGGCTTCATTATGTCTATTACAAACTGACTCTGTAATTTTCATTTCTGTCTTTTTTTCTGTCTGCACTAAATTGGGTTGATTTAAACACCTCTGTTCTCCCTCACATCTAAATTAAATCCTCTAATTGCAAAATTTAAAATTAGGCCTGTCTTATTTTTATTTTAAATGTCAGATTCTTGGGAAGAGGCTGGCCTAATGGGCCAGTTAGTAATCACTCAATCAATCAATGCAAGCTCCCCCTTGTTTTTATTGTCAAGTTAGTTCAGAATATTAGAACTTCACCCCATCTTTGAGGTCTGACAGTCCTTGTGGGGTGTTCAGTATTGATCAATGCTTCACTCACCTTCTTGTGGCATTTGAGAGGGACCACCAACTAGCAATTATATTGCAATCCCTCAATTGTGGTTAGAATGGATTAGATGTTCACCAATTACTGTTCTCCTGATAATAATTCTCAGAGGGTGGGGCTCATCTTGTGAGGTTTTCTCAGATCCTGCCAATCATTGTCAGGAGCTTTTAAATAGAAACACTTTTCAACACTTCAGAAGCTCTTGAAAAAGACTTATACATTTCTCTTTTGTTGTCTTTTTAGGTTTCTCACTGCTAATGACTGCTGCCAAGATATATAAATGGAATGGTTCAGCTAAGAGAAGAATATGAGGTTTGAAAAGTTCCTTTCCTCATGAAAATTTTACTTTCATTTTGTGATTGAGTTGGGACAGAAACTATAAGAGAAGGAAGTAGAGGATCTTTTCATCTAATACAGGTGACCCACCAGAGAGCAGTTGGTTCCTTAGGACAGCTTCCCTGACTGTCTTATGGCTTGAGACCCAGAAACTCAAACACTTTTGGAAAGGGGATTTAGACCTGCTGAGATTGAAAGTAAATGTCTGAATTCTTAAGAACAGATCATATTTGGACTCCATAATTTATGGAAATTAAAAGCAAGATGAATTCTAGAATAAGTACTTATATTTTGAATTTTGCAAAGAATGGGGGTTTTATCAATATCCATGAAGAGTAAGATAAAGAACCAGTCCTAGTTTGGAGGGTCTTTCCCGGTGAATCACTGAAAGTCCCCTGTGTTGGGAACCTAAGTCCAGGGCAAACCAGAACAGTTAGTTGTTCACTCAAGAAAGAGATACTAGTATGAGAATAGTAGAGACAGTTTTCATTCTCTCTTTTATTGGGCTTCCTTTGAATTATATGTTCAGATATGCACCATAAGCATTTGTTATTATATGTTTATAAGTAGAGCTATGCATGTTTTATTTTTTTTATTCAATGAATTTTAGAAATGATTTGATAGATATATCACTGGAAGGGAGAGGAGGTAAGAATATTCAAAGCCATGGACTCCATCACTTTCATGGATGAAATGGAACAGTTCCTATGCATAGGAGGTTTCAAAGCATATTTAAATAGAGGGTCACTGATATTACCACACTCATGCTTAGACACATAGTTATTTCCTCAAAATCAGTGTTTCATCATTTAACCTGATCATGGGCAAAGGCAGGCGTGACTTTGTCTTGAGAAATCCACAGAGTGAACGATCCACCTTGAGAGTTCATTTGATATCTCTATCGGCATGGATGATATATAGCTATGTTTATGAAAGTTGGCATATATACAGAAACCAAGATGGGAATTTGAATCTCTCTGGAATTTTTCTCAGATCAATTTAATAAGATATTTATGAAGATAGTTTTTCTGTGGAGCTCCTGATTGGGCTGAATTGCATTGATGCTATGTACTGTTATAGTGCCAGAGGAACTGAGCAATCAATCGTGGGGAAGTACAGGAACACTGATAGTCAGGGTCCAAATGGCTAGGACTGAGAAGTAAAACTTGCTTAAGATGGTGTTTTATGTGATGCTGTCAGCATAAGAATTATGCGGGTGGTAGGCCTCCAAATTCACATGGAGGAGAATTTTCAAATACCTATGTTGAAGGTAGAGAGGAAAGAAATGTAGAGAGTTGAAGCATAAAGATCCTTCAGTACAATATATGCTATTTCCTCCTACCAGCTCATGTCTTCTTTTTAATTTTTATTTTATGTTATCTTTGCCATCAAATAACATAAATTAGTAACTCAAATAATGCAAAGATATGACAAAAGAAATATTTTAACTAGTGCGAAAACAAAAATCAAGATTTGATAAGTGCTGTAAAAGAGGATCTAGCCGAAACCGGTTTGGCTCAGTGGATAGAGCGTTGGCCTGCGGACTGCAAGGTCCCAGGTTCGATTCCGGTCAAGGGCATGTACCTGGGTTGCGGGCACATCCCCAGTAGGAGGTGTGCAGGAGGCAGCTGATCGATGTTTCTCTCTCATCGATGTTTCTAACTCTCTATCTCTCTCCATATGACAAAAGAAATATTTTAACTAGTGCGAAAACAAAAATCAAGATTTGATAAGTGCTGTAAAAGAGGATCTCATACCAGTTGGTGGGATTAAGAAAGATGTTACTGAAGATGGAATTAATGAGGTGGATCTTGAAGGTTGGGAGCCTGTCAGTGAAAAAAGGGGGAGAATATTTTGGTCAAAGGGAATGGTATTAGCAAAGCCTCTGGTTTGCAAGAGCACAAGGAAGAGTGACCAACCCATTTTTCTGAAATGTAGGGTAGAAGTAGAAGAGAAATGATTCAAAATTAGAAAGACAGGATAGGATTATAGTGAGGAAGATTTTAGGTGACAGAATGAAGGTGTGGTATAGTATGAAATGGGGGAAATCTGAGAGATTTTAGGAAAGAAAATAGCATAATTAGCATCTTGATTAAAAAACCCACTAATTTGGTGGAGGTATAAAGACTGAATCGAGTAAGGAAAGACTGTATGCAGGGAGATACGTTCAGCAGCTCTTATGAAGGTAAAACAACAACAAAAAAGAACCAGCTCTGAAGGGCCGACTGAGACTGGAGAAAAAGGATCAGATTAGAGGGTCACTGATGGCAGTTGGACTCGATAGCACTTGGCACCTTGTGGCTTGTCAGATGGAGGGAGAAGAGTAGAAAGATAATTCTGAATTTTGCACATGGATGAATGGAAGGTGGATTGCTGGTTCAGAGAGTAGAAATAATAGGAGAAAGAATAGATTTTTAGAAGGAGACAGGTGGTGAACAAGTTGAATTTTAAAGGACAGTGGGGTAGCCATGGATAGCTCCCCTGAAAAAGCTGTGCAATTTTTTTTTTCTGAATGAAAACCAACTCAGGAAAATAATAAAAATAATTTTTGAGGGAATATATAGAAACATGTACATATATGAAAACATATTTGCAACTAAATTATACCTAAACTTTTTTTAATTCTTAAACATTTTTTGCTGCTTATTATTGCTACAGGGGTTTTATTTGTTTGTTTATTTCACAGTTTTTTTTTTATTACCTAAACTAGACCACATAATTTTTAAACATGTTTTTTATTTATTAGTATTATTAATTTTAGAGAGGGAGGGAGAGGGAGAGAGAGAATTATTGATGTGAGCAAGAAACATTAATGCCTGCCTCCTGCATACCGCCTTCTGGGGATTGAGCCTACAACCTGGGCATGTAGCCTGACCTGAAATTGAACCAGGGACCTCTTGTTGCATGGGACAGTGCTCAACCAACTGAGCCACACCAGCAGGGCAGACCAGAGATTTTTTTGTGGATGTTGAGAACTGATAGTGTACAGACAAGGGATTTGGAAAGTTTGGGAGTGTAAAGTTAATTTGGCATGAAAGTTCAGCCTCAACCTAAGACTGAAAATATCTGCCCTATTCGAAGAAACCAAGGTGCTGGTTAAAGTACAGAGGAGTGGTGCCATTAAGACTGCTGGCTGAGAAAAGGAGGCTCTTTGTGATTGCAGAAAATGTGACAGCATGAAAGGAGCTTGTGGGTTTAAAATACTATGTAAAAGACAGAGTGCACTTTTCAGCTGCTAATGAATATGTTATCAAAAGGGAGCATGCATGCTGTCCCACTTTCCAGAGAGGGGAACAGATGTGGGGTTCTCCTGAAATCTTTACTCCAGGGTCTGTTCCTCTTTCATGTCTTTGTAACATACTGTCTAATGATTTCTAAACAAACTCCTAACTGCCTTCTCACCAGTAGTCAGCTGTTTGTAGCTAAGCCGTGGCGTATTTCCTAGCTCTGTCAGTGGTTGTGATGATGGTAGAACTCTTGGCTAGAGAACTATACTAGGAAAGATAGGCTAGTCCATGCTGCAGTAACAAATACACCGTATCATTTCAGTGCTTTAACACAGCAAAGCGTGATGAAAGGCAGCAGAGATTCTTCCCCAAGCTGTGATCAGAGATCCAGGTTCACTCCCTTTTGTGCCTCCACCATCACAACACATGGCTTCCAAGGGAGCCACCAAAGGGTAAAAGAGATTCAGAGGAGGCACTGGGTTCTAAACTGCCACCACCTTCAGGTGATTTGTGTCACTTCTGCTTAGAGTCTTATGGGGGCCAGAACTAGCCCTAATTAACATTAGATTATAATGTTAACCTAACTGTAAGAAAGGCTGGGAAATGTCCAGAACCATATTTAATAAGTAAGTGTTTCTGCTACAATCCAACTTCCTAGTCACACAGAAGATCCCCTTGCTCCTTTCATCCCACTCATAGAACAAACTCAACCCTTCTTCAAGGAGATGGTCTAAACTCGTTCAATCACTGAATCACTGAATCCTACTCAAAATACAGGAACTCTGTACTCATGATAGCTTCTGAATTAGATCTAATTGTGTCTTTATTTTTTCCAGAATCCTATGAACTTTAAAGATAAATTATATCTACTGGAATACTTTAATTAGACAAAGGGAAGGATTGGAAACAGTCCATAGACCTTGGTTCATAGCAAATCTGAAACCCCACTGCACAGAGAAGATGAAGGCCCTTACCTTGAAGTTGGGGCGGGGGGGAGGAGGCAGGGAATGGGTGGGAATTTCCTTAATTAGGTCCTGATTCTACTCTATTCTTTTGTCTATTGTTCTCAGTGGGCCCAGGTGAGGAGGATGCTAAGGAATGTGCCTTCTGTAACTTTAGCACCTTCTTCTCAGCTGATTTCCTGCTCTTGGAAGGCTGGGGGCCAAAGAATTGTTTTAAGTCTTGAGCAGACACATGATTATAAACAAGTCATGTGGTTTCTTTGGCAATGCAGTTACTTTGCAAACTTAATAGATTTTAAATTAATTTGTTTCCAGTAAATTTCATGTTCCAGGTACCTACCCATAGTTCTTTTTTTAATCCTTTAATCTTCTACATGCCTTTGCTCCTAATATGCTTTCTCTCTTATTTTATAAGGGCTACCTTGAGACTATTAAGCTTGAATTTAAAGGCCATATCCTTAATTTGATCTTTGCAATGAATCACTCTATTAGCTCAGACTGTTTGCAGTATCATAAATTACAAGCTGGACATGTGTCCTGATGTAGGTTTTGGAAGAGACAATATGTTAACATCATTTACATCCATGGTTCTCAATGCCTTCCAGGGGAGATGGTCAATGTCTCATACGTTTTTTATTTTTATGGAAGCATGGATGGTGCTACTGCTACTGGTATCTAGTGGGTAGAGGCCATGGATGCTGATAAACATTCCACAATGCACAGGGCAGCCCCCATAACAAAGGATTAGTTAGCCCAAAATGCCAAGAGTGTCAAAGTTGAGAACCCA